GTGGGGTTCCATCCTCCTTTGGAGACTTCAAAAGTCACTGTTAGGCATGGTCTTGGTTCACTGCAGAAACTTAAATTTTTAAATGTCATGTGCAGCAGATTTCAAAAAGGTTAATGGACCATAATTTGTTATTTATGTTGAGTACAAAAAATTAATTCCTAGTTACCTGATAGAGACTCAAACATGAAATCATAATCTATATGACCATTAATTTTATGAAAAAAGTTGAAAATATATATATATTACTTTTATAAGTTTTAAGATAATATTTATACCTTAAGTTTTAAAGAGTTAAAATAAAACCAAAGAATTATGAGATTAGTGGCAATAGACTAGTCCCTTAATTTTGGTTTTTCTTCTGTCCCATATCAGGTGGTTCTTCTGACATGAGACAGAGATTTTGGATTTTCCTTTAACAAGCATGATTGGGTTTAGAGAAGGGGCAAGCCACAATTCAACTCCAAAACCAGCTTTAAATTTTAATTCAACTGGGCTATTAAAAGACCATTTACACTATATGTCTGTAGAAATGAGCAGAAACAAACATTTGGGGAGATTTATGAAATGTTATCCTGTTAGAAATATGATATACCAAGAGGCCAATTTACTCTTTTTCTTGGGACATTTTCTCTGGATGATTCATCCTTTTTTTCAGATGTCTCATTTATCCAGTGGTCTTCAGATTCCTTAGTTGGATTCCTTCATTCTCCTGGAAATACAAAAACAAAACCCTGCCCCAACCTTAACTTTTGGGAGTTTCCCTTTTGGCAAGTTATATCTGATCAAATGAAAAGCATTCATTAATCTTAAAAATTAGTTTAGATTGAATGCTCATGCTGTTTGATGAACTGCTACCTCTTCTAATCAAGAGATCTCTCTTGCTTGAATCTAATATTTATCAATTTTGATGGCATCCATAGCTTTTCTTCTCCTGTGGAAACAAAAGAAAAACCTCTTCTCTGATGTAACACATATCCTCTGGTTTCCATTCTGAAGTCAACACATCTCTAAAGTATATAGGCTGATTTAATTCAGCTGTTTTTTTCTACTATCCAAAGTCTCTCTGAAGCTGTTGTTTCTTTCTCATTAGTTAATAAAACATTGTACAATCTATCTCTGGGGGGTCTCTGTTATCCCTTTCTGTTTATTAAACATATCTTCTAAGGTACAATTAGATCTTTCTATAACTGCTTGTTCTGTAGGATTGTTGTGGTATACCTAAAACATAATTTATGTTATAATATTCAAAATAACTGTTTCATTTTCCCTTGTTCATCTGCATTCTTTAGTTCAATGTCAGCCTTTGACACACCTTCTGTGTACTCCAGAAGGCAGGGACCTTCTTTTTGAGTTATCTCTAGAAAAAACAGGGCCCCAGTTGATAGCACTAGCCAAGCAATTTGGCATGGCATCAGAAGTGGCACAACCCTCAGACACCAGCATGACCATAGGTTGTGGCCCAGACCCTGGCATCCATGTGGGCTCTGATGGCAACATAGACATGGGCCAAGGACATCAACCTAGACACCAGATGCTGCAGGACTATGTACCCAGACATGGTACTCAGTGGCACCCAGGGCCAGGTTGTCACCATGGGCCTAGGCAACTGCACAAGCAAATCAGACCGGCATGGCCCCTGAGGAAGTATGGCCCACACACACCAATTTTTCCCCAGGTGGTGGCCCAGACCACAGACCCCTGTATGGCCCGCAATGATGTCAGAAGCCACAGACAACACCACAGACCCCCTTGGCTGCTCTAGGGTCCCTGCTCAAGATCTGATCCTTAGTCATAGCTCAGACCTAGACTTCTCCCTGGACTTGGGTGGCCAGCTGGCCATTCATGTCAGCCTGTTCCTCACCACCTTCTCCTCTCTAGATCTGCTTCTCTTCCAAGCCCACAAATCATTCCTCCTCTCCCACCTACCCACCATATACTCTCTCACCACAATGATACCCAACCACCTAGTGCCAGGGTTCTTGGTTGTTTTGTAGGTAGTGCTTTGGCTGAGTACTGCCCAGTCCAGCCATAAGAGATGGCAGAGAGATGTTGCTTTTCCTTTCTCCCATGACCAGGCCTGAAGATGTCAAGGAGTACTTGGTGTGATGGTACCTGGTTGCCTGGCACCAGAGGACTGTCTTGCCTTGTCTTGGAATGGTTTGGCAGTCACTCTTCAAATTGAGTGTTCCAGTTTGATTTGAGAGTGACCCCATAGGTTCAAATGTTTAAGTAATTGGTCCATAGCTTCTCTCCCTCTGAAACTGTAATCCCCCAGTCTGCTCTTTCTTCTCTAAGTTGCCAGGTAACAGAGTTTTGTCAGAGCAACTGAAAAGTAACTAAGACAGAGATTGGTACCAGCAGTGAGGTGTTGGTGTGAAAGGGCCTTACCATACAGGTTTTTGGGGGAAGGTGAAAAGATTTGAGAACTTTGAATTTGGAATGCAGTTGAACACTGTGAGGCTCAACAGATCATGCTAATAGGAACTAAGAGCAACATGGAGTACATAGGCCAAGCCCAAGAGCTTTCAGACAAGAGTAATATTAAGAATTGGATTAGAGACCTTTCTTGTCATATGTTAGTAAAGTGAAGCCAGTATTTCCAAATCTCAACTTTTTAACTTCTTATGAAATCCTGGGAGTTTGCATGCATGTTCTACACATGAAAACTAGTACATGCTGAAATTTCCGGCGTTATGAAATAGGATGTGTACATAGCTCAGGGGTGTTTAAGAATGACTTCTTAAATTTATTGAGGGGTTTGCCCATTCTTTTCTAATGAAATAAATCATTACTGCAAAAGCTAAAACCAACAAGATGCTAGCCTTTTTTCTGTTGAACTTTAATATTAGTTACTTAAATCTGGGAATGCTTTGCCAGTTTCTTTCCTCATTTTCATCCTTGCACTCCACCTCTTCATTCTGTCCTTATGTGTCTTCTTGCTGTACTACAATTTTCTTTTTCTTTTCTTTTCTCATTTTTGACAGGGTTTCCCTATCCCAATAAACTCACAATCCTCCTGCTTTAGCTTCCCAAGGATTTCTATTATAAGCAAGTATTATCGCATGAAGCCTACAGTACACTTTTTAAGGATTCTTTCCTCCGTGGCCTGTGTGATCAGTCTCAAGTTTGGGCCTGGAAATGTCTCAATTATATCTAAACCTGTGTGCTACTTTAGCTGGGATTATAATTCTGAAATAACCTCTGTATCTCTCACTTCGAAGTGTTGCTTTTCATACCTTCCACTGTTACAGATGAGAAGCCTGATCTCAAGTTGCATTGCCATTTCTTTGTATGGAATGAGGCTGCTCATTTTAGTATTTTGGTTGCTTTTGATGATCTACACCTTCAAGTTGATATCTTTAATCATAGGAAGTGTATCAGTTGCTTCCTACTGAACCTCCTAAATCTTGAGATTAATTCTTTCTCAAAGTCTCCATTTTTACAATGAATCATTAGGCTTGGGATATGGTCATCAGTAAAAATATTGTGCAAACATGTGTAAGGTTGGCTCAATCCACAGAAAATATAATTTAAAGAGTCATTTTCTCTTGAACCTTTGAATTCAAGAGAATTCTTGCAGTTGAACAGTATGTAGGAAGTAACTAGCATGCACAAATCACTGTGGAGAACTTGTTACAATAAATGCTGTTCAGAACACAAAAATTTCTGTCCTCCTAAATTGAGAAAAATGTACCTCATTATTTTGTTCTGTTGTTTTTATTTTTAAAGGATGTCATAAAATTCATTTATTTTATATCAAATGGTGTGCACCAGAGTTACAGTTACCAGTGAATCCTGAGAACAAGTGAATACTGTGGTGGCATGGAGGAATGTTTCTCTTTCAGTGGACATCTATATCATCCCCTTCATGCCTCAGGGAGCATTGGGAAAGAGGTCAGAATGTAAGCACTGGAGAAGGTGTAGACTACAGTATTGTTATATAATACTTCCTCCAAGATATCCATTATGGAGGGAAGGTGTTAAGGCTCATGATTTCCTAGAAGGCAGTAAAACAGTTCATCCTGCAGAGAAATGTCTAAACCTCCAGAAGTAAACTATACAAGGGTTTCAAGAAGTCCATGGGGCAGGCCAAATTCTTCAGGCCAACCCCCACCAGCACATATAAGCAGTGAGGACTTAAGACAGCCACTTGGACCCCATGAGATGCCCAGAAGTTTTCCCAACAAGCAGAGCTGTCCTAAAGAGTGAGATCAGATAAACTACCTAGAAGAGGAAGATATCAGCCAAGCACTGGCAATAGCCTGATTTGTTTTGGGTACCTTTGGGACATCCTTGACTGAATACATATTTCATTTTTATTTATATCTGAGTAATTTTCCATTGTGTGTATCATATTTTCAATTATTCATGTCAGGTGATGGACATATAGGTTGATTACATTTCCTGTGAATATAATGAGTATAATGGCAAGTGCTCATTGGTAATATAGAAAGTCCTTGTTTATGCCCAGGAATGGTTATTGTGCATCAGCTTCCTCAGAGATTAGAGCGATTCATCTTGAACTAAGCTGCTTAAGACAGAGGCTGTTAGAAGACAGAAAAAGTACTGGATGTTGTAGGGGGAAGTGACACATTCTGTCCTGCACATAAGCTCCTTAAGACATGAATTAGAAATGTAAATTATCTTCAGGATGTCCTTGAAACAGACCAGATTCATTAGGCCCCTCCCTCCCAGAGTAAGTAATAAAGGCTGCTCAGACTCATTCTCAGACAAGCCAAAATGCAAAGAAGACTCTGAGACCAGACCTGCTGCCTGGGAGAAAGCAGCAGAAACCAGCCTGTAAGGGGCTGGGGTTGTCTGTCCAAGGCTTAATCTCTGATGCTGTTGAAATACTCTGTTCTCCCTTTGTGCAATATTGACTGATTAGATTCCTGTTTACTTTATACCATTATAGTATACACATTTGTTGACTGTCACATTTTCAGATTCAGGAAAAACTATAGATACTGTACTTCTTAACAAATTTTATTGGCATAAGACAGCTTGTGCAAGATCTCCTGAGCCCATTTTTCTATCTTCTTTATTCTGATCACTGGACCTTCCATCTCAGGAGCCTGTCACTGAAGAATGACTTGCTGGTCCAGGTCAAAGGATCATCCTAGAAGACATAATGAAAAGAAAGGAAAAGTGTTATGAAATATTATTTTTAACTGTGTAAATGTGTGTTACATTTATTTCTGCTGCTTTTGTTAACAATTCAAAGATGTGTTACATTTGTTTGATTAAATAGAATGAATCTGGGGTCAGGAGGCTGAGTCCACAACTACCTGACAGGAAGTGGTAGGGAGGAACTAAGTATAGCCAGTGTTCTTAAAGAGGAGCTGAGCAGAAGGACACCCCTTTTTTGAGAAGACACGAGCAAGGAGAGAAAGTTGGCTACTTGCTATTTAGTCTCTCTGAGTGTGCAGAATTTCACCTCAACCTTTGAATCCTGAGTTCTACAGAAGGATAGAGATTTAGATAAAGTTCTCTTTAGCAGCAGTAATAGAGCCCATGCCTGAGGGAACAGAATTCCTGCCTGGCTGCAGCCTGATGCTGAATCACTGCTGGTAGCTGCAGGGTTGCCATTGCTGGTCGGGACATCAGTTGCTTAAGGTACAGCCACTGTTTTGAATGCAAAACAACAGAAGAGCCAGAGCCAGAGGATGGGAGAGAATACAGTAAAAAAAAAAACAACAACAACAAAAAAAAACTTCTTGCCCTTAACCATGCCACTCAGTTCATCTACTCAAGGCCTCTTAAGATGGAAGCCATCAACATTTCATCATGGCTGAGAGAGGGGCCCCAGAGGTTGAGGGTCTTCCCTAAACATCTGCCAGTGGTCCGTAGCAAATAGTAGAGCAGTTTCTCTACTTACAGTTAAAGAGGGAGAGCCATTAATGAGTTGCCCATGATCCAGGAACAAATTCCCACACATGCTCAGAAAGATAACTGTAGTTAAAATAAAAGGATCCCAGTCAAAGAAAAGGCATGAAAGGAATGGGGCTGATGATTTCACTTCTGCCACCACATTCTGTATTATCTGTAAAGAAACTCTTGAGTCAGGATCAAGTCCAGCATGACCAGGTCAATCACCAGGTGACATCTCTGCCCTGTCTATATCAGGCTCCTTGATGCTGCTCTATAGAGCTCACATCCCACACATTCACCTTTCCAAATACAGATAGGAAATTCTTTCACCTGTTTAGGGCACTTGTTACCACTTCTGCTCAGTAAGCATCTCTGATTTATTTTGTTTTTTGAAGACAGGGTTTCTCTAGGTAGCCCAGCTGTCCTGGAACTTGATTGTAGACCAGACTAGCCTTGACAAGGCTCAGAGACTCACCTGCCTCTACTTCCTGAGTGCTGGGATGCACCACCACCACCCTTTCTACAAGAAACATAATGAAATGAGAGATGCTGAATCACTATGATTGCCACTCAGGATACAAGATACCCATTACTGCAGGTCAGTGAGCAGCACTCATCACTGTTGGCACATACTTTGTACTTTCCAGTGAAGCATCCACAAACCAGTCTTCTGTCTGGAATCTCTGTGCTACAAACTTGGACATGAAAAAAATTCTCACCTAATGTGCACCAAGATTCTCTCCACACTAAAGGTACTCAACAATAACAAATCCTGTAGACATAGCAACAGGAAAAACTCAGAGAAAAAGTGTCAGTGGGAATCCAACTTACTGCAGCCTCCACGCAAGTCAGTGTGCAGCTTGTCCAACAACCAAACAACCAAAAAAGTCAATAAAATCAAACAGTATCACATATGTGGTTTTGTAAGAAATGATTCATTATACTACATTCTTGTAATAATGAATAATTACTCACTGTTCAACATGCATATGAACAGCAAGAGCAAACAGAAAAATATATATGACAAGAGAACACAGACATGTGGCTAGCATTTAACCATGGTAACACAATTGGTGAGGAGGATTCTATTCTCTAAATATTCTGAGCAAACTGTTTCAAGAGAAATGGACAATTTCTTCCAAATGAACAAGGGAATGGTAAAACAATATGAAATTTTTAAAAAGCACAGAGATCACAAACCTTCAGATCATCAAACCAAGATTTCACATCTGTTAAATTACAGCAATGAAAACCACCGAGGAAGGACATGAAGAGACACAAAGGAAGGTATCAACGAGAAGACAATGTTCACAAAGTTTAATATTTGTCAGAGATATTAAGCAATTCTTATCAAAATCATGTTGTCATTATATTAGGAAATGAGAAAATTGACCATAAAAGGAATACAATCGAAAGGAACTACTGAAACCTTAAAAGTTAAGAGGTCAGGAAACAAATGAAGAGGCAAGAAGTTTCCTATTTTTACAGTATTCTAAAATGAAAATAATGGAATTCATATATTATTGATATGAACATGCAAGAGATACATCATAATTCACTCATATACAGTCAAATAAATAGTATTTTCTACTAAAATTAATTCATTTTTTTCCTTTTTTCCGTTATTAAGAAATTTTCTATTTATTTTACATAGCAACCACAGATTCCCCCTCCTCCCTCTTCCTGCCTCACAGGTTTCCCCCACCCAAAACTCCCCCCATTTCCACCTCCTCCAAGGCAAAGTCTCCCATGGGGAGTCAACAGAGCCTGGTACATTCAGTTGAGGCAGGTCCAAGCTCCTCCCCCCGCACCAAGGCTGCGCAAGGTGTCACACCTTAGGCACTAGACTCCATAAAGCCCACTCATGCATGAGGGACAGATCCAGATCCCCCTGCCTGGGGACCCTCTAAACAGTTCAAGCTAAGCAACTGTCTTGGGTATCCAGAGGACTAGTCCAGGCCCATGGGGGCTCCACAACTATTGGTCCACAGTTCATGTATTTCCACTAGTTTGGCTGGCAGTCTCTGTATATATTTCCATCATGATCTCGATGTCCCTTGCTTATAGAATCCCTTCTCTCTCTCATCTATTGGACTCCTGGAGCTCAGTCTGGTGCCCAGCCGTGGATCTCTACATCTGCTTCCATCACTAACTGGATGAAAGCTCTATGATGACAGTTAGGGTATTCACTAATCTGGTTACTAGAGTAGGCCAGTTCAAGTACCCTCTCGACCATTGCTAGTAGTCTAAGGTAGGGTCATCCTTGTGGATTACTGGGAACTTCCTTACCACTCTGTTTCTCCCTATTCCCATGGTGCCTTCATTTATCATGGTATCTCTTTCACTGCTCTTCCACTCTGTCCCTGCTCTAGCTCGAACCTTCCGTTTCCTTATGATCTCATCCCCTATTCCTTGCCTGCCATTATCTTCCCTAATCCACAGTTTGCTCATGTAGATCTCATCTATTTCCCCTTCTCTGAACTATCTATGTGTCCCTCTTAGGGTCCTCCTTGTTAGCTAGCTTCTCTGGAGCTGGGGGGTTGTAGTCTGGTTATCCTTTGCTTTACATCTAGTATCCACTTATGAGTGAGTACATACCATGTTTGTCCTTCTGAGTCTGGGTTACCTCACTCAGGATGATATTTTCTAGTTCCATCCATTTGCCTGCATATTTCATGATATCATTGTTTTTCTCTGCTGAGTAGTACTCCACTGTGTGTGTGTGTGTATATATATATATACATATATATATATATTATATTATATATATATAATATTTTCTTTATCCATTCTTCAGTTGAGGGGCACCTACGTTGTTTCCAGGTTCTGGTTGTTATGAATAATGATGCTATGAACATAGATGAGCATGTATCCTTGTGGTATAATTGAGCATTCCTTGGGTGTATGCCCAAGAGTGGTATAGTTGGGTCTTGAGGAAGATTGAATCCCAATTTTCTGAAAAACTGCCATACTGATTTTCAAAGTGGCTGCACAAGTTTGCACTCCAAAACAGTGGAGGAGTGTTGTCCTTGATCTAAATCCTTTCCAACATAAGCTGTTATCAGTGTTTTTTATCTCAGCCATTCTGTCAGGTATAAGATGGTATCTCAGAGTCATTTAAGTTTGCATTTCCCTGATGACTAAGAATGTTGAGCAATTCCGTAAATGTCTTTCAACCACTTGAGATTCTTCTATTGAGAATTCTCTCTTAAGCTGTGTAGTTAAATTTTTAATTGGATTGTTCATTATTTTGATGTCAAGTTTCTTTAATTCTTTATATATTTTGGAGAGCAGCCATCTGTCAGATGTGGGGTTAGTGAAGATCTTTTTCCATTCTGTAGGCTGTCATTTTGTCTTATTGACCACATCCTTTGCCTTACAGAAACTTCTCAGTTTCAGGAGTTTCCAATTATTAATTGTTGCTCTTAGTGTCTGTGCTACTGTGTTATATTTAGGAAGTGGTCTCCTGTGCCAATGTGTTCAAGACTACTTCATACTTTCACTTCTATCAGGTTCAATGTAACTGGATTTATGTTGAGGTCTTTGGTCATTTTGGACTTGAGTTTTGTGCATGGAGATAAATATGAATCTATTTGCAATTTTCTACATGCTAACTTCCAATTATGCCAGCACCTTTTGTTGAAGATGCTTTCTTTTTCCAATTTTACATTTTTTTGCTTCTTTGTCAAAAATCAGGTATTCATAGGTGTGTGGATTAATTTCAGCATCTTCAATTCGATTCCATTGGTCCAAATGTCAGTTTTTATGCCAATGTAAAGCTGCTTTTATTACTATAGCTCTATAGTAGAGCTTGAGGTCAGGGATGGTAATGCCTTCAGAGATTGTTTTATTGTACAGGATTGTTATAGCTATCCTAGGTTTTTGTTTTTCCAAATGAAGTTGAGTATTGTTCTTTCAAGATCTGTGAAGAATTGTGTTGAGATTTTTATGGGAATTATATTGAATCTGTAGATTGTTTTTGTAAGATTGCCATTTTTACTATGTTAATCCTACATATCCATGAGTATGGGAGATCTTTCCATTTTCTGATATCTTCTTCAATTTTTTTCTTCAGAGACTTAAATTTCTTATCATATAGGTCTTTCACTTGCTTAGTTAGAGTTACCCCAAGGTATTTTACATTATTTGTGGCTATTGTAAAGGGTGATAGTCTCTGATTTCTTTCTCAGCCCATTTATCATTTGTATATAGGAGGGCTACTGATTTTTTTTAGTTAATCTTGTATTC